AAACACACAAGAATTATACTGGTTCGGCAGAACTTTTGCCTACGTCCAGTTGTGATTTCTCTAGGTAGAGAAATCACCGCTCCTTTGATTAATAATAGAGATTACAGAACTTTTGCAACCCTAGAACTAATCTCAAAACTCTTGGCTGTCTCTGGCTGTTTTTCCTCTCTTTAAAATAAGCCTTGCCACACCCTATTTATAGATATAGAGTTGGCTTACATGTCCCAAGGCTGATTGGATTCCTATTCCTAAGTAGATTAGGAAATTACACTTATCCAAATCCTAATAGACTTCTAGAAATCCAAACCTGAATTGAATAAAGAAAACTGAAATTCTTTCCTAATCCCTCTAGGACAAGAATTGGTATACCTCTAATTTTCCTAAAACAATCCTAAACCAACTAGGACATATTTGACGAGCCAAAATCCTAACAATACAGTGAGATGCCATATATTTTATTGTAGACATGTTTTAGATTGGATATACAATCTTAGGTTATTTTTAATTATTTGATCATATATGTGTTCTACATTTTGATATCGTTCGTGAAGCACAATCCTCATTCATTTTTGGGTATGTGTGGGAATTCTTACTAAACTGTTCTTTAATATTTCAGATTTGGGATGGATTGATTATGACCAAAACATTTTTATCAATGCGTTAATATGTGAAAGGGTTAGGGTGTTACGAAAAAAATTTACCACAATCTAATTTTTTGTCTTGTGAGATCGTACTTGGAATCCATCATTTATTAACATGGGTCAAGGTGAAACCTACCATTCTTGTAGAGCTGAGATCTATGAGCATGAAAAGCAAGATTATGGGACTTACATGGGCCTTTTCTAACCCTAAAATCTGCTGCTTGCAGAGCTTGAGCTCCATTTGAAGTACATGGAACCGAGACTCAACAGGTACAACACATTGCTCTACTATTTGTTTTTGTCTACCCCGGATGATCTCTGGCTGCCATACATTCAATGCTACTGAAGCTTGCCTGAAACAAGCAATCAGGTGATAAAACACAATGAGAAAAACACACCATAAAAATTTTAAATTAAAAAAAAAAAAAAAAAAAAAGGGAAAGGTAGAGGAAAAAGAGAAAAGGACAACTTATAAAACTGCATCAAAATTTTGTACTTGCTATATGTTGTTGGAATGCCCAGCTATCATTTTTTGCTAGCTTTACATGAGGCGTGAGGTCCATATCCCTGTAAAGGTGCTTTCCTTCTTTTATTATTATTTTTTATTTTTTATGAGTTCCTTCTTTTATTTTTGAATGCTTAAAAAAGAAAAAAGAGAATAGATAATAATAGCCCTCCCTCATATCAAGATAGGATCCTAATATCCCACATTGAAGTAATACAACATCTGACCCGCATGTGGATAGCAAACCAAAGGGAAGATTAAAATAAAAGAGTAATAGAACATCTAGGGCAAGTATGTGAGCTTTTGGGATTCCTTTACAAGAAGTTACGCTACACCAAGGATTTCTATAATTTGGTACCAGAGCAAGGCACCACAATTAATATTAGCCAGGCATAATATGAGCTATGAGGCTTCATGGTTGTGGTTGTGAATGGGATGACCCTAGTGATGGTTGAACAGGATCCGTGAAGTCCCCTGGGGAGGGCTAATAATTGTAAAATGCAAGATCTATGAAGTCACCTGAGGAGGTCTAATACTTGTCAAAAGCAAGATCCACGAAGTCATGCAGCTGGGAATGAGTGTTGCAAAGCATGGTGGATCTTATCAAGGGATACGACCCTCAAGCTGTTCCAATTTTTTTTTCAGGTATAGATGAGGCCCAAGGCCTGAGTAGGCTAGCCTGGAGTCTATGGTAACTAATCTACTATTAGAGCTACAAGCTCTCACCTGAAGCTCCTAACCATCTCCCAACCAAAAGACATAGGTAGCTGTTGAAGTTGAAAAGAATGGCTTCAGGGATTTCCTTGGATCTGCTTATGTAGATAGGCTGAACACAAAGTAAATTATACAAGCTACTGACCCAGCGTTTTGTGCAGCAGAACCCAGGAAAATAAAAGAACAATGGATACTACAAGTCATATCACATTAGCATGAACTTCTTATGCATCAATTTGCTGGATAATACAAATCACGCAAAGAAATGTAACAATAATTTAGGTTTCTCAGAAGCCAAACAGAATTCAAAGTACATATATATATCAAAAAGGCATTTTTAAAAGCTTAAACAAAGTAGATTTATTACCTGACATTGCTCAAATTTGAGAGCTCAGCAAGAGTTTCTCGCATTTTGTTAGTCTCTTCAGCCAATCGGGTCTCCATGTCTCGGAGCCTCATAGAACGTTCTAAAACCTGACTCTCCTTCCTCAACACCGCTCTCCGATGTGCCGCTATTTTCTTATCCCTATCCCTTTCATACCTAAAAAATAGAACCCAACAATTTTTACATTTTCAAAAAACTTGAAAATATTATCACCAAAAAAAAAAATTGAAATAATCCAGAAAGAAAAAAATAGAGAAATGATGTGAATACGTATTTACCTGACTTTGTATAGGGATTTACAAGTTGATGAATGCGCGGAGGTAATTGAGGAAGAAGAAGGGGAAAAGAAAGGCGGGAAATCAGAGGAGAGGAGGTGGGACCAGAGAAAGTCTTCATCGGATAATCGGTGGAGGCGCCTGGAGGAGATTGATAGACAGCAGAGGTCTTTGTAGCTAAAGCCGCGTCTTTGAACACCGATTTCTAAAATTCGCCTCCATAGCTCCTCAGGGAGAGCTGACATTGAGATTAGTGGTTTCAAAGACTCCAACTATCAATTCTAAAAGCCTCTGGTTACGCAGTTAAACAAGCTGTTGCCGAAGATTTTGTTTATTTTCTGTCCTCTGCCGACTGTAATGAAGACGATCGCAACTCCGTCGGTGAGATAAAACCTTGTGGGTACAGTGAAAATTTTAGAGTTGGGGGAGCGGATCCGCTGCCCCCAAATTTTGTGTCCCCTCCCTGTCCCTCTTCTAAATTTTCGACATCTGTCACTCAACTTAATAGAGTTAACTTTTTTATTTTATTTTTTAATTATCTTGAATTTAAAAAAATTAAAAAGCCTTAAATACCAGGACTACGAAAGCGCCTTTCCGTATCTGGACATTTTCTTGCCTTTTCGTATCTTTATTTCATTCAGCAACAGAAATTTGGAGGAAGATTTCATAGCCATGTTAGATTGGAAGTTGATTTCATAGCCTAATGGAGACGATGATTAGAGTTAAATAAGTCTGGAGGCCAAGAAATTTTAAAAACAAGAAGAAGAAAAAAGCGTTGGGATCTGGGTATTGAAATTGTCCTTTTTTTTCTTTTTCTTTTATTTTTATCGAAGGGAATAACATTTCATTGTTAAATAAAGATACGACTTATAAGGAAGCCCAAAGGTCAAAAAATAGAAAAACAAGGGCTCCATAAGAGCAACTCCACCCATTTACCTTTAGCCATGGTAAGAGGAGAGCTAGGGCAGGCACTACTCACGTGAATAGTAGTTGCTCTGCAAATAGTACTTTGTGTTACCACCCATTGTCATGGCTAAGGGCAATTACTATTCAATTTTTTGTTTTTTTCACAAATTTTTTTACCTCAATAATTAATTTGGATAATATTTTTGGATAAGATTTCCGGGTTCCTACGTGTCAAGACTATTCATAATCGGATAAAATTTCCGGATAAGATATTTGGATTCAAATTTCGGATGAATTTCAAATTTTAGATAAGATTTTCATCCAATCAAATCAAGCCACATGACATCTCTATCTTGCCAAAATTTTCTATAAAACCAGAGGCTCAGCTCATACCTCTCACGCCACATCTTTCTATATTTTCATTTCTCAGAGTTTAGAATTCGTACTTCATTCATTCTCAATGGAAGATTTTAGGAGATGCTTAGAGAGGCAAGAGCGAGAAACAAATGAGAGAAACCGTAGAGCAGATGAAATCAATGAGTTGCAGAGAGAAGTCGATGAACAAGTTGTCATAGCAGTGGCTTTGCAAGATGAAGAGAACCAAGGTCGCCGTCGTGGTTCACAAGTCGGCCGCCGCCGGAATGTAGACAGACATAGGCATTCTCGAGATAAGAATCTTTTGGAAGATTATTTTATCCCAACTTCTTTGTACTCTGATGTTGATTTTCGAAGGCGATTTAGAATGCAACCCCATTTGTTCAATAAAGTCATGCATGATGTTTGCAATTATGATGCATACTTTGTTCAAAAGTGTGATGTTGCTTGGGTTTTGGGCCTTCTTCCGGAGCAAAAGTTTACAGCTGTTATACGAATGTTGGTGTATGGAGCATCTGTTGATCAAGTGATGAGATTGCCCGGATGGGGAAGTCCCTACGTTGGAGGCTTTGGTAAGATTTTGTGATGCAGTTGAAACTCTGTACACTAGGGACTACCTGCATAGACCTACTCCCAGGGACCTCCAATGGCTTCTACAAAAAGCCGAAGCTCGAGGATTTCCAAGAATGATTGGTAGCATCGACTGCATGCACTGGCAATGGAAGAATTGCCCAACTGCCTTGCAAGATGATTACGGAAATAGAAAATGTCAAAAAAGTATCATCCTTGAAGCCGTTGCTGGCTTCAACACATGGGTTTGGCATGCCTTCTTCGAAGTTGCCGGATCCTAAATTGACCTCAACGTGCTGGGTCAATCTCCGGTCTTCAACGATGTTTTGAGAGGCCAAGGCCCCAATATCACCTATCAAGTCAACAATACAGTCTACCAGACGGGGTATTATCTAGCTGACGACATCTACCCGAGGTGGACCACATTTGTCAAATCCATTCCGAATCCCCAATCCCAGAAGAAAAATTATTTGCTACCTATCAAGAAGGATACATGAAAGATGTCGAAAGGTGTTTTGGCATCCTTCAAGCTCGGTGGTTGATTATTCGAGGTACAGCCCGTATGTTTGATGAGAAGATCCTCATAAGCATTATGATGACTTGCATCATCCTCCATAATATGATTGTGGAGGATGAGTACGATTATGATGCTTTAGAGGTCTACGAACCGGATCCAATGAACACGGCCTTGACACGGATTTATGAAAGGCCCATGGGGCCAAGTGGAGAACCGTTTGACCCGGAACCGTTGGTGAGGGATGGTCGTTTCATGACCCGGATGATAGATCAATATACAGAAATGCAATCTTCGTATATTCATGAAATGCGTCAACTTGACTTGATGGAGCATCTATGGGCGGTGAAAGGCAATGAAGATGAATGATGGAGCATAGATGCTTTGGTTATGTTTTATTTAGTTTTGGTTTGGTTGTGTTGTTTTTTATTTATTATGGTTTGGTTGTGGTTTATTATTATTATTGTGCTTGTTTGTAGTTTTTATTATTATTTTAATTATGTTTTGTTTGATGTATGGAATATGTTGAATAAAAAGGTATTTTAATTATTACATGAAGAAATCCAATACAAGTCATTAAGAATTACTAGTACTAAAATAAAATACATGAATTACAACAACTTTAATAGAAAACATGAAAAATACAAATACATAAAAGGTATGCCAACTAATTTAATGGTTTTCATCATTTAACCAATCTGTGTTGCTATGCCTATCATCCTGGAAAAGTTTTCTTCTCATAACATCCCTTCGTTCTAGCTTCCAAAATTGTTTTGTTTTAGGGGACATATGGCTTGTATCCATCGCCATGGTTTCCCGATCCGTATTGTACTCATCTTTTTTGCTCAAATACTCCCTTTCTCGTGCATACTCGGCTTGAATTTTCATCTTGTTATCTTGGCGTTTCTGCTCCATTTCAATTCTTATGGCGTTCTGCCTTGCAATTTCCTCAAAAAACTTTGAATTATTATTGCTCGAATTACCCGATTTCTTTGCCTTCGCAGCCTTTCGGCCAATGGGCCTCGGCTCCTTTTTGATGGGTGAGTCTTGACTCATAAGGGAATCGAGAGGTGAATCCGATGTCGTTGAATCACGGAGTGGCGTCTCATTTAACACAATGGCGGGACCCGTGGGAATAATTATGAAGCGTTTGCAATATTTCACCACTTCCCAACATTCATGGTGGTTGAAACTTTTTTTGCCACCCCTGGTTGCACCGAATCACATCTGTGCTTGAATCATCTATTTAACAAAAAAATGGAAATGCAATAAATATTTAAAATATATTGGATATGCATGTAACAAAAAAAAAATTAATGGAAATGCAATTAACCTTACAAATAAATTGGAAGTGCAAGAAATATTAAGAAACAATTGGAAATGCAAGAAATATTAATAACATATTGAAAATATAAGAAATATTAACAACATATTGAAAATGTAAGAAATATTAACAACATATTGAAAATGCAAGAAATATTAACAAAATATTTAAAATGTAAGAAATATTAACAAAATATTTAAAATGCAAGAAATATTAACAAAATATATATATTAGGACATTAAACTTAATAAAACGAAAATTACAAAATACCTACCTTGTTAGTACGATTTTTCCGCTTCTATAGTTGTCCATCGCTTTTGCCAAGACATCTCTCCATTTTCCCAACTCTTTATTGAGAATTTTCCACATACTAGACAATGTCATTTCCGTACGAGTCGACCCCGAAATTTTTTCACAAAATTCGGCATGAATTTTTTTCCACATATAAAAAAATTTCATCTCATTGCCTGACACGGGACAATGACAAACTTGGAGTCAAGCCTCACACAAGGAAACATCTTCCATGGTGCTCCACGCCCCTTCGGTTTCGATAGAACAAGCTATAAAAATAAAAAATAAAAATACAAGGTGAAAGAGAGGAAAATGTTGAGAAAATAGTGAATAATAGTAGAAGTAGAATAAAATGTATCAGGATTAGTGTTGAAAGTGAAGGGTATTGATAAGTATTTATAGAAAGAAAAAAAAAATCAGAACTTTTTAGTATTTTTTTTAAAAAAATTTGATTTTTTTTCATAATTTTATTGCCAAAAAAATGCCAGCCGTTGGATTGGATTCGAAAAAGCAAATTGGAGCGCTAAGGGCATGACACATGGCTTCTACCTGTTGGAGCCTGCGCAGGGCTGACATCAACCCACGCTGGTTTAAATGCACGCGCCAACGGTAAAAAAAAATTTAAACCGCCCGATAACGTCGCGCATGAAGTCACCAACATGCGGGCTCGACCTCGGGCTGAACTGGCCTTCGGGCCAGCCTGACTTCGTGGGACCCACTCCCAGCCCGGGCTTGGGCTCCTGGCTGGAAACGGCTTTTCTCTTTTTTTTTCCTCCAGGCCTCTATGACCTTGCTGGAGTTGCTCTAACAAAATAAAAACTCGACCTAAAATACAAAAGTCACCACCAGATATGCCGCCGTTGCCACAAGAAGAGTGAGGTTCAGGAGAACCAAGAGAGGAGATCTGTAGAGTGTGGATATGGGGGGAGCAAGCCACCATGCATCATACTCAAGCAATCTATCAAGTAGTGGTCAAAATTGACCATAGATTTACAGAGCCCACAAGTGCAGATCCAAGTGTTACATCTGACAATGAGTTGTTGGAGTAAAATAGTTGCAGCAATCCAGTGACAAACCAAGTAACTTTTAGGGGTAGAGGACTTTTGGTTTTGAGATTTGGTGGGGGGGGGAGATATGGGTTGACGAAGGAGTAGAGGGATGAGAGGAAAGAGAGATGAGGGAGAGGAAAGAAATGTAAAACAATGGAAATGGAAATTCATAGGGAGAAGTAAAGGATCTCTGGGCCAACATTTGAAAATGCAGAGGAAGGGCTTTTGAAAGGAAACACAGAAACTAAAGAAAGGAAGCCATACAAAAGGAGGCAGAATAGGAGAAATTAGAATAGTATTGTACCACCACGGCAACTGATGATATTCTCATTCAAAATTTGACATGTGTATAACTTTTTGACAATTGGAGTATTCATTTTACCCTTAAAAAAAATTTAAAGAATTTTAA